GGTCCGTGGCGCAAAAAAGGTTGGAGACCGCTGACATAGAAGATCATACAGCAGGCAAAAATAGGGCAAAACTGATCTCCCAACCCTCCGCTGTAACCATCTGGTTGTTAAAAGAAGAGGGGATGTAGTCAGCGGTAAACATGGCCCTGCACCAACGGTTTTTTCAAAGATGTGTTGCTGCCATCAAATCCAAAATAAGGTAAATTGTTTTTCTTAAAATGGTTCATTTTCCCACTTTAAACATCTGTTTAAAATATAAACATTATTAAATACATTTTCAATGTTCCACTGTTAATAAAATAAGTCTTATATGCACTTTATGTAACCATGAAAATAAGCAAATCATATCTGGCATTTGGTGTGAAAAGACACATTTAATTTAGAAAATCTTCTAAGGAGTGCAGCTCTAATAACTATGACTCACTTCCTTGGCATTAAGTGCAGTATAATTCCACTGTATTCATGTCAGTGTGCCAACTGTGGTCTATTTAAAGAGAGCTGGAAGCCTTCTCAAGATTAAAACTGACCGATCCACAAAGTATCCAGTGATGGGTTTCTCGTTGACAGTGTTTGGGGGTTTCCAGGCAACTAGGACATAGTCCGAATTGATGTCATAGGCCTTTACACTCATTGGTGCGCCGGGGGCTCCGGGTGCAGAGGGAGCAGCATCTAGGGAAAAAAGAAACACGGGTATGTTGGGGAGGAAGAATGGAAGACGAATGGTGATAGACACAACTATTATGGCTCCACCGCTTATTTGCATACAATGCCTAATGTGTGGTAACAGGAAATAAGGAGTCAATAACACCTGTTTTAAATCTATGTACTGCTGTGAGTGTAGAAAAGATTAGGAACTCTTAATTTAACTTCTAACTAATGAAACATTTCATTTTGCCAACCAAGCTTTCACTTGCTCAAGACACAAGACACATCATTTACCACCATTTGCATAGTGTAGTTATTTTTCTTTGTTAGGGGCGTATAAACCTGCATCTCATCTGCATAGCAACAGAGAGGCTTCTAAAAGTACAGCCAAGGGGCAGAGGATAAAAGCAGAGGTCCAAGTATTGATCTCTGTGGTACCCCACATGAGACCAGAGCTGAGGACTTACACAAAATGTTCTCTCAGCCAGGTAAGACCTAAACCACGCAGAGCATTCCCCTAAAAATCTTTAGCCAGGAGGATGGCATTAACAACCCAAGGCAAAACAGATTCTGTGCCAAGCAGAGATTTAAAAAAAAATCTCAAGGTCACTATTTTCATCTAAAAAGGTTTTTTTTTAGCTGATTATAAGCAATTTTCTCCAGAACCTCAGAGAAAAAGAAAAGCTTGGAAATAGCACTAAAATTTGATAAAATACTGTAGCATGCTTAAAAGGTTTGGGAAAAATACCAGACGAGAAACTGCTATCGAGGACAGACGGAGAGATGGAAGAGTAGAAATGACCTCTTTAAATAATCAAGGTGGAACAACATCAGCAGGGAAACCTGTGGGCTTCAGATGACCAACAACCTCATACAATAAAAAGAAAGTTACAGGCTCAAACTGGCCAAAAGCAGCAGAGCAAGGAACAGTGACTGAGGTGTCAAGAGCAGACGTGGTGACATCTGAGCCCTGGCATTATTCACCTGTTCCACAAAGAAATTCAAAAATCTCTCACCTCAGAGGAAGGTTCAACAGTGTTACGTATTTTCATTTTTAACCAACTTATCTTCATTTTCTTGTATCTATTATTAGTTCAAAGCAAGTTATTTATGAACTACACATAATCAGACTATCATATATATTAACCAGATTATAGTTGGGTATTTTAAGTAAGGTAAGTTTTAAGTGGTAAGTTTAAAGTTTCTAAGATTTGTGCTATTCTATCCCTTTTGCTCATTCATGGCTTTTTAAAAAATGTTGCCAATGCTCTTTTTATTCTAAACAGCGATTTCTGATTTGTTCTTTCAAAGTCACTGCTGCAAAACAGCAGTGATCAATCCACTTGTATTTTTATTTTTATTCCTATTTATTCTATTTATCCCCTTCGTATATTTTATTTATATATGTGTGTGTGTGTATATATATATATAATATTCTGTAACTCTGTAACTTCTGTCGGTGCTGTGCTTTTGGAAACCGAATTTCCCAGAGGAACCCACCCGAGGGATTAATAAAGTTTTATCTTATCTTATCTTATCTTATCTTATCTTATCTTATCTGTGATCACGTGGTGTTAGGACTGTGTCCTACCTGAGACAAACAGGTAGGCGCTATGCTCAGCAGTGCCGTCCTTTGTGAAGATCCGAAGCGTGTAGAGGCCCTCATCATCCTTGGCCAGGTGAGGCAGCGTGAGAGAGGCAGCACCTCCACCCACTGACATCTCCACCAGTTTACTTGGTTTCAGCAGTTTATCTTTTAGAATACAAGATAGAGGACACAATGAGAAGTGACCAAACTCAGTCAACCAACAGCGCCACACACAAACATAATGAAAGAATGAAAGAAGGTCTGACCATCTCTGTACCACTGGGCGATGGGTGGTATGTTGGGGAGATCGGGGACCACCACCATTGTACACACCAGTCTGATGGAGTTGCCCTCCACACCAAAAGACACTGGGAACCGGTCAAG